TGTAATTTGGTATGCGCTCACGATTAAAGTTCGTATACTATGTTTGCTCCCTGATGAGTTTTTCCTTCCATCTTTGCACAGCTTCTGCATAATGTTATCAGTCGCTTCAGAATTTTCTTTCACCCTTTTCAACTAGTTTAGATGGAATTATGGAAACAAGGCAGCAGGATTACTATGTGTGACAAAACTTATTGGAGCAAACAATGCAAGTTTAAGAAGCACTCTTCATAGACTTACACTGAATTTTGAATTATGGTATTTGTATTACCATGTATCATTCTACATAGCACTCATCAAAATTCTTTACATCAGAAAAATGCAAAGCTTTCTGGCTTGGTCTGAATTAGTAACAATGCCCAGAGTTCTCCACATGAATTATTACAGGGTAGCAAGCTTCAAATTCAGTATCTCAGTTTTATGGAGAGAGCTAGCCACTAAAATAAGGCAGGTAGTTTTTCCTCTTAAAAAAACAGAGAAATGAGACAAAATGTGAGAGATGTCAGTCAAGCGCCTAAGAGTACTGCTGGAAAGATGGTCCACCAGTAAGATGCCATGCATGAACTGAACAGCAGTCTATACCCTCTTCCCACAGTTATACACTAATTCAGAACTTTTTCCAAGGTTGCAATTGTATTTTATTTTCTTGATACTGTCAACTTGAATGTTGTAGTCACAGAGAATTGATACTCTTAGTTACACCGTGTAGATTTGTACTTGTTCATTTCTATTACATAATTACAAATGTTTTTTTCATTTAACAGTGTCAGCAAGGCTCAGAGGTAAACATATGGAGCATATATAGCTGCCTGTGGCTATACTACAAGCTATATGTGCTGGGATCTGAAAACTATGCTTTTCTTGTAGCTGGAAGTTATTTGTTTTAATTTTAGTTACTTTTACAGCTATGGACTATGTTTACATAAAAGACATCTGACTTGCAAGTTGATTTATTTGGACTAAATGTTAAAGGGGCTAGAAAGCATTAAGAACCAGTGAAATACTGGGAAAATGGCATCTATTGTAGAAAAACATTACAGGCAAGAAGCCAGTACAAAAACACCAGGACAAAACGTTGGAAGCATCAGCACAACTGCCTGCAGAACTTGCCAAAAACCAAATGAATCTGCTGAGGGAACATTTTCTGCAGTATATCTTGGTCTTGTAATGCTCAGCCACATCCCATGTGTAGCCTTGTTTGTTGACCCTTGCTATTGGCAAAGAAAATAAAAAAAAGGAAGAGAGCTCCATAAGTGCTGAGATTACAGACTGAAGAAACTTTTTATTGAGGAGTTGGAGTCTAACGAAAGACAACATATTTTACAGAAACGGAAAATAAATTAATTTTATAGGTCTGATAGGTAAACACAATGACAGCATTATATCTTAGCATATAGTAAGAATATTATTAAAAGGATTTTTCAGAAGAAATTTATTACCACCACGATTTGCAATATTTAAAGAGGCTAGTTCAATAGTATACAAGGAATCTTTTACCAATTTTGGCAATGATTTAGCAAATCATGTATAAGCCAAACTGTAATTTTAAGTATTTCATAGAACCACAGCAGCATATAGGGCAATTTATATGTTTAAATGCATAAAATTTAATTATCAGAATCGAGCTTCCAATGAATGTGTCCAGTTATTGATATGCAACAACGCTTTAATGAAAAAGGGTTGAACAAAGAAATCTCTAAATAAAGTTGAAGGAGAATTATATTAATGGGACAGTGTGTACCCTGATTTCACCAAATATTGGAATAAATAAAAAATAACTAACAAAGTTAGTCTTTTAAATACCCATTTTTAAACAACATGCAACACAAAGATTAAAAGGTCTGGCCATAAATATAACTACATTAGCCAAACACAAGAAAATAAATAGATGGGACTTCTAAAAATATCCTGGAGAGCAACAAATGCAGTTTCTGACAGACCAAGAGCAGTCCAAGCAGGCTTCTCCTTATGCCACTCAAGTTTCAGGCTGAATTGAATTATTCCTGTAAAAACCTAGTAGTAGAAAGAATTCTGCCCTGCATTTTCTGAGTCAGTCTCAAAGACAGAATCCTCTAAAAAAAAATCTCTGTAAAGATTTCGCTGTATTTCTTTTCATTAGCTTTGAAATAAAGGTACACAAAGAAATCTCACTGGTGAAGGTTAAAACACGCAAGACAAATAGTTCAGCTGTGGAAGTCCTTACTACAGACTTTTATGGAAGCTGACAGTACAGTGTATCAGCACAGTTCAAAAGGAATTAGGCAAATTCAAGACTGACATTAAATGCAACGGTCTTGATCTCTAGCTTAAATGCCCCTAATCTGCTGCCTGCCAAAAAGAGTGAAGGTATACAAGAAGAAGGATCTTCTTTGTCTATCCTGTGCCTTATTTTTGTACCCTGCCCTGCTATTATTGGCTGCTGCTGAACAATATGGATCGTTTTGATCAAGTATGCTGTATTCTTTTATGAACTATATTTTTATTTTTCAATGAACTTCGAATCTCTAATTTTTTTTTCTTTAATTATTTGCTTTCTTCAAGCAGCTCCTTCTCGTGTTTTTTTGTCTGTTTGGTTTTTTAATTCTCTTAAAGTATATACTTGGCTTTAATTACTTTTTTTATTCTTTCATTTCATGAAATATGTATCTCACTATGCCTCTTTTTAACTAATACTTCTTTCTCTTCTCTGATATTTCTCAATTCATTTCTCTTCTGTTGCTTATAGAGATGTGGGTACGGAAATAAGACTGTAAACACACATTTTACAGATCACATAATTTGCAGAAACAAATGGAATAATTTTGTAATACTATATTTGTCATTACAAAATACCTACCTCTCCTTGTTCTCCACTCAATCCTTCTACTCCCTTTAGGAATTAATATGGAAAAAAAAAAAAAAAGCAAGTTGAGCCAAATTACTTGGAATCAAAAAATAGTATTTTTGTCCTTTGTTTTCAATAATTAATCACAAATGTCAATTTTTAAAGATTCTGTGATTGTAATTTGTATAAAAAACTGAACTGCATATAAGGATGAAAAATGTATATCATGGTGAATTAACAGTTTAGTAGTACCTTTAATATCATATACCAAAAGGATAAGCTGGGAATATATCATACATATTATAAACCATAGATTTTATTAGTGTACAAGAAGTGCATATAAACAAAACCTTATTCACTCTACAAAAGAAGTAAGCTTTGGTGTTCTAGCAAAAGGAAACTCCTGATTCTACCTGTTTAATACTGTCTTACTAGACAGAAATCAAGTTCAGAGCCTTCGAAATACAAACTCAGTTTGTAAGCCAGATTTTGCATGTTGGCAAATGGTTTCGGTGTCACTTCTACTAAATGGTTCAATGGTGTTATTGATCATTAAGTTCCATGGCAAGATGGCAGCTCAGCGCAGGCTTTTTCACTTTTCTGATATACTCTTACGGACAAGGGAATCTGTATTGTATCTTTGAGAAGTCCTGGAGGCTTGAGAAACCTAGTGCTGTCTGCCAGAAGTATGTGAATGACTGATTTTTTGGTTGCTGACCAAACTAGATAAGCCTGGGAAACAATTTTAGACCAAGCCTGTATTATTTTTTCAGCTTTCTCAAAAAAAAAAAAGCAAGCAACAGCAATTCAGTTGCATCATTCTATCTGGAAAAAAAAAAATGTTTTCTTTCACTATCACTTTGTTTTACCATATGATTAAAATAATAAACATATGAAAAATTTATCCATTATTTGCAAAAGGAAAAACCAGAAGTTTAATTTGTAAAATGTTAGAGTAGGACATTACATTTGGTTAAAACCAATGATCAGCCTTTTAGTTTAAACTATTTATTTTCGAAAATATCTGCTCAGCTTTAGTACCGGACTCCTGTCAACCGACATACCCTTGAGAGTGATAAAACTAGGCTAACATACAATCTAGATCTCCTGCCCATGCTCCACTGGAATCAGCTCCTTTTGGCTAGACAGGCAGCTGTATCGATGTCGTAATTCTGAAAAAAGCAACTGTGACTTCCTTCCAAGTCTAGTTTTAGATATGTACCTCTAACAAATACTTCTCTGTTTAGGCACAACGTAGATCATGTAGTTAACAAGTATTTATAAATACTAACAGTTATTTTCTGTGGTATAACAAGATAGCCAACTATGACACAATCAGAATACATTGGCCCAGAGTTAAAGAGAAACAACTGGATCTCACTGATTTGCAGCTGAAACAGGAAACATCTGTAATTTATGAGCATAGAAGATGTCAATAATGACTCCCAGTATGAGAGGCAATGAACTACATGAAAGTGTAGCATGGTACATGCAAAATCTTAACATCTCAAGCATCACTCTTACAACCTTTACAAAAAAGCCACTTCGTGCTGTTATCTGTATTTTATATGATTTATAATTTTTTCATGAAAATTTTCCATAATTCAGGATTTAATAAAATAATCCAGAAAAACATACTTCTGGTCTGTTTCTCAGGATGTAATATCCCAGAACCACAGAAACACGTAGGTTGGAAGGGACCTCCATGGGTTCAACTTCCTTTTCAGAACAGATCCAGCTAGAGCAGGCTGCTCAACACCCTGTCCAGACAGGTTTTGCCACAATCTCTGTGAGCAGCCTGAGCCAGTGTTTGACCACCCGCAAAGCAAAATGCTTTTCCCGTATATCAAGTTGGGATTTCCTGTGTTCCAACTCGTGTCCATTTCTTCTTGTCCTTCCACTATACACAGCCAAGAAAAGTGTGGCTCCATCTTCTCTATATGTGTTGTATTTGTTATTTTTAAAATACTAAGGTTGCTTAAGAGGTAATTTATGTAACTATGTAATCATGTTATACATAAATATATTTCACCTGATGCAAAGAACTATCCATCTTGATGGAAGTAATCTTGAGAAACAAATACGAATCATGGCTCTCTTGAACTAGGATCATTATTTTAACAGTACCTGTAAGCCTGGATTTCCTTGTCTTCCTTTTTCTCCTTTCAGTCCCTTCAGAAAAGAAGCACATTTTCTTAAAATAAACATTTATCTGGGAGACATAATTAAACTATCAAAAATAACACAAAGAGGTAAACTCTAAAATCTCATCCTAAACCAGGCCCAATCAGTCTGAAAAGCTACTCTTCAAGAGTTCACAGCAGAAACTGTGCAGAAGGATACAATTTCTACACCGAACACAGAGGAGCCAAGTTAGGATCTGAGTAGTGACATAATACTCCTCTTTTGCTTGTAGGTATTTCCATGGCTTTCAGATAATGAGGAGGAAAATCCCACTGGTTATAATAGAGTAGGTAGGCAGAGGCCAGGTGACGTTACTTTGACTATGAGGATTTATGCGTTCCCACAGCGCCTGGGGCAGGCAGGGACAGAACCCATCCCAGGACAGTGCTGGGTCATGTCCCAGCCCCCTGGGGCAGCAGCACAACCCACATCCCCGAGCCCGCACCATTGCTCGGACCACATAGCTCTGCACCAAATGTCAATAGCCTGCTCAGCCCCAGAAATGCAGCTGGAAATTTATACTGAGCATACTGGCCAGTCTTCCTTGAAGAAGAGTTAGGGCTCAGTGCTGCTATTCTTCAGGCAAAGCTTCTGTGGAGCTTAATCTTAAAAAAAGGCTCCTGAATTAACACCTAAGACTTGTACTGATAGTGTTACTAGATGATTTAACTAGAAACAAAGTTGATATACCTGGATACCACTTTCACCTTGGTTTCCTTTGTCCCCCTGTAAAATATTAGAAGAAAAGTCTCCATTGTAACATGATTCATCTCAAAGACATGTAGTCTGTGTTTTAATTTTACACAGTAAATATAAGAGAAGCATCTAATAGCTTTTATTTATACTGAATGAAAACAAATTACTTTATCCCCATGTACACAAACACTGACAAAAGTACAGAAAGCTATATTAAGAAAGGAATCTGTCATAGAAAGATCAAAAAGAAAAGTGGATACTCATATACCAAGTTAAAATTAAAAAATGCAACATAATGAGGTGGCAAATCCAGCAGGATTCTATCCACTCCGTGTGTGGGAGTGGAGAGGATGTAGGCAGGGAGGGGGGGCAGTATTTCTGATGGGTTAAATTTCACCGGAATGCTAACCACTAAGTATGCTTGCCTTCACCCACAGAAATAGAGTATAAATAATTTCTGTTACACTTGCTATAAACCCATTGAATGCAGAAGTTATACATGACACACAAAAGAAAAAAGTATTTTTTTTAAATCAGAAAAAAAATTATATTTAAATTTAATCAAAACTGTGTAAGGACTAAGTTCCACTTCCCTCCACTCCTTTTGACTTTCATTGCAATGTTTATAGCAAATAAACATTAGTGGGGTGATTGGCAATCAGATGGTGCAAATGGTACTTAAAAGCATCTAGGTTTATCAAGTTGTCTGAACACCATCTGATTGACACTGGAGAGAAACACACAGCTTTTGAAAACTATTTATGCCAATTAATGACAGAGGTATAAAACATGTACTCCCAGAACGTGCCTCTCTCTCTCCCTTGACTGAAAAGGAAACTTGAAGTTATGGGAGATGGCTCCTGCCCTAACTCTGACCTCTTAAATCAGTGTGACTGTTTAAATGTCCAGCTACTGTCCAACCAAGACAGTTGGACGCGATGATCTTAGAGATCTCTTCCAACCTTAATGATTCTGTGATTCTATGATTCTAATAGACATGAATCAAAATGTTGGGCCAAGAACATAGCACCTCATGAAACAAGAGAGATCTGGGGGTGTGTGTGCAAAACTGCATTTAATAAATAAAATAATTAGGATGAAGTTTTTTGGATTTGTTTTGCCAGTTTTCTTGTAAGAGCCGAACACGTGTGTTTGGTTGTTTTTTTGAAAGAGAGAATGTTCAGTTAAATGCTAAACAGTAGTAAAGAGGAAATTTTGGCCATGGCAAATATTTTCCTGATTGAAAATCCCAGAACATAAGAGGGTATTTATGCCAGCTGTATTTGGTTGTATTGTACTTGAATGCAAAATATTTGGTTTGGTTTCAAATTTTACAATAAGCTATAGCTGAAAGGCTTCACTTTTACTGTCAGATGCCCAAACTGCACTTTTTTTCCTGAAGAATTCAAGAGTTTGTCATACTTATGACTTGTAACTCCAGTTAACCAGCAATATATATTCTGACTTGCATCTTTTCTATAAAATGGATAATGACTTTTGCAAAACCTTCTTCAGTTTAAAATCTAAAGAGGTTCCATAAATTTTAACAAAATCTCCCTTCTTACAATCAGTATTACTGTCTTGGCACATGTACCTTACATGACCCTTAGATACTGAAACTGAATATATGGTGATAATTAAACTAATGGAACTATTGTTATGACTGACTCAACTCAAGTCACACTTCCATTGGGCTTCAGTACATTTTGAAAGATTTAAGACAGGAAATCTTTGTCCTCACATGCTCTGGAAATGACTGTTTTGAAACTGGTCTGAAGACTAATTTTTCTACATCTTGTCTTGGAAAAGGGAACTCAGGTTCCATTATCTCATTTAGCTGAGATAACCTCATTTAAATTTGGATCATTCTCTAGCCTCCATTGACCAGGGACTTGCTAAACATAGGCATTTAAGATGCTCTAGACAACCCAAGGCATCCCCATATGTGTCTACTGACATCTGAAATACTCTAGCACACCTAAGACATCCATATATAGCTGGCATATGAGACGCTGGACATACAGGAAACCTGTGCCCTTCTGGAACAGAAGCTGACATCTAACGGAACACCTCTGCCTGGGATTTTCATGAAACTTTAAATATAACACCACCCTTCCAACTTACTGCTTCTTTACCCTTCAACCTTTCTTTCCCAAGTGAAGTACCTGATTCAACTCTATTTCTATAATGCCTTTTTATGAAGGGCTTCATCCTTCAAAAGGTGGTCCTCTGCATTGCTGGTAATGCTACACAGATGCATTATTATTTTTTACTAACTGCTTATTTCTATCTGACACCTTACCTGAGCTTCCTTTGCTTTTACAGGATTTCCTGTTTACTCTGAAATCTGTAATTTGAATATGTAATGGAGAAATCTTTGCCCTAATTGAGACTCCAGTATTTCCCAGGAAACACTGCTAGATTTCTAACCCAAGTGTCAGATACATTACCTAAACACACTAAATTTATTTTTATATAAATGTTTTCTATATATTGCAATTTGAAGTTATTAAATCTGTTCAAATATAATTTAAAATTTGATTTAACTTATTAATTTAATTGTATTCATTTAATTTAAAATTAATATTAATTTTTAAATTTAAAATTTATATTTAGATATTAAATTTGGGCTGATAGCAAATACAGCAACATTTTTAGCCTCGACAACTTGTCGCTTGAATAAATATCAAGTTTGAATAGTTGCAGGTAAAGCTTCTTAGTTATAGTAAATGATATATCCTAAGGAAACAAGTCTATCTATCTGTTTCATTACATCGGATCACTTATATTGCTCCAAAGAAACAGTATAACATTAAAATAAGCTTTATACTCATATATGCCAATTAAGAAACTCACTGTAAAAAAAATTTCTTTGTCATGTTTTCCCATAAAAATACAATAAAATAATGAAAATAATAGCAGTACTCATTATCTTGCAAAGCAATGAAACATTTAATTTTCAGGATGCACATATTATTGCTTTAAAAGTGTCCAGAATATAGAAATCTTAATTAAAATTTAGACTAAAAACATAATGGATACAAGTCAGAGCTTCAGTTACAATTAGAATGAATTGATTTACAGCAATGGAACTAATTTGACTTCAACCACTTTTGAACCATGAGAGCTGACAGGTGTTCAACCCTGCAATTCTCCTCAAATCATGTTATTAAACATTACAGTGAATATTTTTTCTCCAGCTGTTTCAAATAAGTATGTAGTGTTTCCTTCACATAAATTTGCCTAATAGCACATGTAAAGTATAAATTCTTGGTCTTTCTCTGTTTCTACATAGAAGAAAGGTGCCGTGCTGAAAAAACATCATCTAGAAAACACAACTCTGTTAAGTTCTTTGTAGTTACACACTGGGCACGAAGAGTAGTGATTTTCAATTACTTCCAATTTTCACGTTCTTAAATCCCATTCTATAGAAAAAGCATAGCTGATTTTCCCTCAAGAGACAGTTCACACTCCAGTGAGTTCTGCGAGTTATAGTAAGATAAAAATAAGTCAGTATTTTAAAACAAGAAATATTCTAGGCGCTTTCCAGCTTCCAGTCAAACAAAAAGTTCTGCCTTATTGGCTGAGACAAAACTGAGAGGTTTCAACCACACAGGAGATTTTTAGTAGAATGCTGTCATCTTGTAGAAGGAAATCTCTAGGAAAGCATTTAATGCAATGTTAATTACAGCTTTAAGTTATGCAAAAAGCTGTGTGCTTGAATTTCAAAACATGCCAAAGAACAACATTGCCTATAATCTTTTCAACCTGGGACTCCTTAAAGACATGATTGTCAGAAAATCCTACATACCTACACTTTAAAAATAAGGATGACTATCCAGATAAGTCAAATGTCAATACGAAATTTTACAATGTGTTCACAAAACAGTTCTTCAGCAATGAAGAATTTCAGCATAACCACATCTATAGCAGTGTTTGCAAGATGTAAGACTGCACCAAGAGATGGTGAGATCCTTGAAGGCATGATCTTTATAGGAATTCAGTATGCAAGAGGAATAAATATAGGTTCTTGTCTGAAAAGAAGAAATAATTTTCAACCTGTACAGTAGAAGTAGGATCCATCTAACCTAACTTTTGCCATCTACAATTTCACCATTCAATTTAGCTAATTGTCTAGGCTTCGGCTACCGTCAAAGAAAGGCATAGAGATGTGAATTAACGACTCCCAAAGGACCTCAGACTCTCTCAGCTAAATACGGAGAGAACCTGGACAGCTTGGTTAGATCAGATAACTCTTAATGGCTAAGCCTAACTGGGCTGAATCTGTCCCAGCTGCCTAGGGTTAATTGCTCCACTTCTTATTGGAGCTCCACAAAAGACTTTGTACAACAGACTTTATAGATGTAGCACCTGCTGTAAGATATAAGACTAAGTAAATATAGAATCCTGGGTCATACCATTATGTACTATAATTCATAATGGAAATTTCATTAATACTTATGCCGTGGCATTTTATGTTAACAGTTTCTCCATTTTGGCCATTCTCTCCTCCCTATGAAAAATGATTGCTTTTCTAAAGAATGGGCCTTCTAAAATACACCAGCTATTCTCTAATAATAATGATGTATTTAGAAAAAGGCTTTCCTTTAATAATGATCACTTGTAAGAAAAGCACTTCCAATAAAAGATGTAATTAATGTAAAACTGGAAAAAACACTTACCTTTATACCCTGGGTACCAGGAATACCTGGGTAGCCTGGTTCACCTGGAGCACCTGGTAATCCTAGTTCTCCCTGAGAATATACAATAGCTCTGTGTCAGTGATGTACTGTGTGTAAAAACATATATTGCATGTTTTCTCAAGGTCACATGATATGCTTTGGCTATGATATTTTGAAATTTTATAACTGAGGATGATTCAAACGTCTGGAGAATTTGTGAAGGCATGTTGAATACAGAGAAGCCACAAAAGGGACTCCTAATTCTTAACTTTAGTTTTCCAGTATCTATCTTTTTTAATTGCCTTTTAATACAGCTGATGTTGATTTTTCAAAATTACACAAATAAAACTATCTGAAGTAATGGCAACCTTTGCAGGTTTGAACTTCATGAACAGCTGACTTACATTGCCTAAAATCTAGTATAAAATTAGTAAGAATAAGCCATCAAATGGATTCTGATGCGCTTTTATGTTAACTACTGTTTCATTTTGAAACAAACTGCCTTGTAGCTCATCATAGAAAATAATGGAAAATCAGTAAATCATGGAAAAGTAAAGCAATCCCTCCTTTAACCAGAATACTTCCAGATTCATATTTACCTTGGCTCCTGATGATCCTGGTTTCCCCTGTATTCCAGGTTCGCCTTTATCACCCTATATAACAATGTAAGAGCGTGGCTGATACATCAGTATGTTTTGTCATATGTGGTATGAATAGCAAACATAAACAGACACTGCAAGGAAACTGGCTTTTAAAAATAGCCACAGCTGGTGACTGAAAGGCTAAGGCTCTGCACCTTTATAGGAAACCTGAAGTTTCAACACTCTCTCAGGAAAGATGAGATACTGATGACAAAATGTGATCTGCCAGCCTCTGCTCACCTGTCCCTTCCCACCTGCCTAATTTCCCTTGCCCAGTCATACCATGTTTGTGTGTACCGACTTCACATTTCCACCATCTCATTTAATAAAACTCTGAAAATCCTCGGACCTGTCTGATCCAAAATATTTATTTATGTTTTGGTTTTCACTGTAGCCTATGGAATTAGGCATATACTCAGCACAAGGATTTTCATTAAAATCTAAGAATTATTATTTCATGATGCTCTTCTGTAAGAATGAGCTGATTAAGAATGATTCTGTAAGAATCAGCTTATATTCTGAATGAGATATAAATACACAAAACAAAAGCATTTTTCACAAATGAAAATAAAGCTAATTAATTTGTAGTTATTTCACAGGTATTCAATCTTCTTGACCATAGTAAACATTGACCACTTTAAAAAATGTTACCTTCAGTATACAATTTTAAATAAATACATATGTACTTTTGGATATAAAAAAATGCATGGGTGGAAGTGGAGCTAAATGTAAATACAAAGTTCGGGAAATGGATTCTGTATTCCTAAATATTCTCTAGGACATACAATTCAGTGCTTACTAGCCAAAACTCATCTTGGATTAAATTAAAAGGTTACACTAACAGATCTGGATTTATAGTATCTATTTTAGTTTCTGAGAGCATGGGTCAAATTAATTCTTGCTGTAGCTGCAGTGCAACCAGTAAGTTACATCTGAAATAAATTTGGCTCCTCGGGTGGAAAAAGCAGCATGTAACGTTATTTAACACAATTAAAATATAAATAAATGTAACATGGGCAGAAAGCTCTGATGTATACTGAGAATTATCTGGCTCCCAGCATTGCAGAACATTTTCCAGGACTGCGAAGCTGAAACAAAGTCTCATGGCCACTTCCGCAATTGTTCCAAACCTCATGGGATGACAGGAACCATTTACAGAGCTATATCAAGCTCTCTTGAGACTGAATTATCATATAAGGTAATATAGGGAAAATCATATAGCTACTCACCAATATTCAATATACCAAAAAATTAGCTGCAAAATCCTGGCATATTGTCATCCATAAAGCAGTCATTTGTCAAAGTCACAAGCGAATTAACACAAACACTTACCTTAGGCCCAGGAGCTCCAGGTAGACCAAATGAGCCTTCTGGTCCCATCAAACCCTATTTATTTTTGAAAAAGGCAGAGACATTTCTGTAATAAGCTAAAGGAATAATGGCTTCAGTATAGTGTATTAGTATTATTAGTATTAGTATGATATTTCTATAGTGAAATAAGTAGGACAGGAAATATAATGCCTTTCATCATATTACTATACAGGCTGTAGCTCTGATACAGCACAGTGGATTATTTAGACCTTCTATGGCCTAAGGAAGGGCTACTGTGCAATGGAAAAAAACATTCAGGAAAAAAGCACAGCGCTGTCATGACATACTCCTAAGGGAGAAAATTCTGCAACTCAAAACCCTGTCTGTGTGATCTAATCTTTAACATATCTTTAATACATCCTTAGCTATAATTGAAAGTGACACAGGAGTTTCTTAGTTTCCATTTAGGTTTCCAAAACCAGCAAAAGTGTACTCGGTATTTCATAATTCTCTTCCCTCTTTCTGACTGTGTGTCCCTCAAAGGTTGCCATGCCTTGACTCCTTTTGCAAACTTTGTGGAGATTTATCAGGAGCAGTTAACTTTGGGGCCACACCTTTGCATCTTCTGCAGAATCTTCAGGACTGAACTGTTTTTTCAAGAACCCAATAGTTTCTGCCACTTCAGATCATGGCACTTCGGCATATGTAAAAAGCCAGAGCATCGCCAAAATTGTCCTTTGGATTCCTCTCATGGAAACGTGTTGATAAAGGCACGTTTAGTTGTCTTTGTTCCATACATAAACTAAGAGCTAAAGGGTGTTAAACCATCAAATGGCTGGCTTTCCTAATTTCTGTTCAAAGCTACTCTCAAGTATAGATTAGAAAAGAAATCTTTTTTTAAAATCATGCTTTCCAAGAAGGAATTCCCATTAATAGTATTTTCCACATCTGGTGTTAATGTATGTCTTTCTCACCACTTCATCTCACTTCTCTGACTCTAGAACTGCATGCGTCAACAAAAACAATATATTATTATTGTTTTATTTGGACTTGCATATATACTCTGAAACATGATCTGCTATAAGAGTGTATTTAAGACACAGCATAAAATAAAAGCATAATAATACAGAAAGTCAAACAATTAAATAAGGCCTGGAAATCTAACTTGTCAGAGATTAAGTTTTATCAATGATTCTAACTGATAGTATTTTCAAAAACTACTGTTGTTATTGTTATTTAATCTTTGCTTTCATATAGATAAATACAATCACCTTCCATTTAGTACTAAATGTTAGGAACTATTCAGTTCAATGACATTATCTCAGACCTCCTTCAAAAGTTACATGTGATCAAAAATAAATGTATGTCTACAGTAATTTGTTACACAGATTGTAACTCAGTTTTGCCAAAAATTATTAACTTTCTTTGCTAAAACTAAAAGGATGGCTTTGTTTTTGCAAATACAAGAGAAAATTCAGAATATTCAGAACAAGAAGTAATTATTTGTAGCCAGAGTTTTCAGCATTTCATCAGTTTTCTGATATTTCACCTGTGCTTTACTGTTAACTGAGGCAGCACAGATTAACTCAGGTTTCTTTCCTGCTGTATTGTAAGAAAGTACTGGTCACCAAAACTTTCTATCAATAAACATAGTAACTTGCTCTTTAGGCCACAGACACAGGTCTGTAAATACAAATAAATGGTATCAATCATAAGACTAAAACTTCAGTAACTTTGCTGCCCATTTTCCTCAGTCTCAGACTTTTCTCGTTCAGTCAACTGCACATGAAAATTCTTCTACTAAACTCCAATTTCTCTAAAATAACTAATAATATCATACATCAAATCATTTCCAACACTTTCCTGAACTTTGAAGATTAGATCTGCTTGTTCTTACTTACATAGAAAATCTAGTGTAAGTGCAATCTAGTGTAATCTATTACTTGGTAAATAAAAGTTTACTATACCCTATGCCATTTCTTTTATAATTTTGGAATAGAAATTACCAATTCCTCTCCAGCTGGAGTGAAGTTTCTGCAGTCTGCTTCCACTTATAACCTAAGAGACAGTGTATTCCCATTAACCATTTGCTTACGGCCTATGTTCAGCGTCAGCTTTGTTACAGCAAGCATAAGAAAATATTAATTCGGTTTTGGAACCTAACCTTGGTTATATTAAGACTGTCTTAATTCACTTGCACATCAGGCCTGCTTCTTCACTTTTTCTCTTTATTTACATAGCAAAATAAGGTTCTATCTATTTTCATTTCACTGTAAGGCTTAATTCAATTTGGCTTTTTAAAATCAAATTTCGTGTTATCTATTGACCTCCTCACTTCTGAAATACAGCTCTCTTCACTGTGTGACATCTTTTGCATTCCTTGAAGGCTACCTTCCTTTTCCAAGAACCGCTGTGAAATTATTATTTTCTTCTCAGATTCCTGTTCTGTGCTCATTACTAGCACATTAATCTGTAGAGAAAAGCAAGCGCAAGTTTGGGGACGGATAGTGGGAAGGGATGAGAAATGTGACTAGGGGATTTCTGGCTCCTTTCACGTTGCCACCTCAGTGTAGCCCTGTGTTTCAAGTCACGTAACATGCTGTTGGAAGCCTACCCCCTACCAACTCCACACTAGATCACTTTGAGTTTATGCCCAAACTAGTCCTTGGGTTACAGAAGTGGTTAAATGTTCATCACAGATGTTCCTCATTCATTTTATCTTATACAAACTGGAAATACTACGCGTACAGAACAGTTGTGGGTTTTTTTTTTTAAATCAGGTATGTGTATATATCCACACTGATCTGCAAACATATACTAGAGAAGGCAAATCAGAAAATACGTTTAGTATAACTAAAGTTCAGGCGTACATCTGCAGGAAAGGGAGAAATAAAACCCAGTTGTCCTGGCTTCCTTTCTTGCACTTTAATTACTAGGCCATATTTAATGTATGTCATTTAAAAAATTACAGGAAGACGACTACATGAAATCAGTACACTGCAAGAAGAAAACTTTCAGATGCAATATAGAAAAAGCTTGAGAACATAATCTGAAAACTATGGCATGTAAAATTAAGAGAAGAGCATGTCCCAAATAAAAATAAAGAACAATTCAAGGACATAAAATGTAGCGTTACTCCCCCCTTTTCCAGAGCTGACACTATTTATGTGGCAGATAAATTAATAAATTACTGATGTTGGCAATGTAATAGGGATACTTATTACTGAAGAAGAACTTGTTACTGAAGAATTTTCCCAAGGTATTAATATACCATCCACAAGCTTTCCATCTGTTTTTTCTGGAACAAGCATATTCAGTGTGACTAATACAAGGAAAATCCCACTGTCTTTTCTGGTTGAAATTCCCTAATGCCATATAACTCATTCAAATATTCCATGCATCAATTTCCTACTTATTTTATCAGGTGACAAAAGATACATTAAATGAGTTGACAGGAAACAGGAATAAATTATTTTCAAGTGTATCAAGAACCAGATGTTATTTATCTAAATAAAACTCGAAGAAAACATGGTAGGTGAGTTACTTGAATAAATACGTACACTTTGGAATCCCACAAGGCTTTATTATAGCTGTTGATACAGGCTTCCCTCCGGCATTTTGTTCAGCTTTGTCAGAAAGAAATGGAGAAAAAATTTCCAGCGATAGGCAATAAAAATTATTAGAGGCACAGGTGAGAAAATGAATGTGCATGTGTTAACTAGGAGTAGGGACATTTGAACTTCCAGTTCAGGCAACGTTTCTTCCAAATGTGATCTAAACAACTGCGATAACTGGTTCTCAAGGAAATTTATTCTTTCCAGAGAAGCTCGTTACGTAGCTGAAAAAGTCCTTTAAGTTCATGAAAAGAAAATTAACCAGTGTACTCACTTTATACAAAACGGCTTCTGACAGCTGTAATGTAGTGGTCCTGCCTGTGGTAGAGTGAGGAAAGGAAGAGCTGCTGGGTAGATGCAGGGTAGCTATATATTGTGCAGGAAATTCTGAATGTATTGGGTGACAGAGTAGCCCAGAATTTGTAAAACCCATACCTGGTTTCAATCTTTCTCTCCAACAAGGACTCCATTGGTTTTAATTGATCATATATTTTATTAAGGAACTGCGAGCATGGAAAAAGAGGTGTGCTCTTCAATACATTTATAGACATTCATATGCCTATATATAATCTTTGTTATCTGGAAACGAGAGTCAAGTTTTTTTAAACCTAACATTATTCAGCGAGCAAGTTCAGGGCTCTCTCCTTTGTCTGTGGTTGTCTACAGAGATATAGGAGAAAGCACAAACCACACCCTTAGTTCTTCTGAATTTTCTTTGATGAAAACCAGTAAAACAAAGTGAAAAATTAAGAAAAGAAAGAGGAAAGAAGATGAGATCTGTGGACTGTACAACTTTGAGAAGTCTATTTACAGTTTAACAACTGCCTCAGCTTCTTCAAGTGATAGTCCACATATCCATTTCGATTCCACATGACTAAGCAATACTCAGAGCAATAATCAGAGCACCCTAAAGAAAAGATTTACGTGTCCTTCGTGGAATCAATGATCTCAGCACCATTCTGAGAAATGCACAACCGAAACCAAAAGACCACCTCAAAAATGGTGAGGTTTACTTGTGACAGGATAGACGTACATTACTGGACAGACACACAGCAAGCCTTGACTTACAGTGATGATTCCTCCCTTTGGAGGTCTGAACAACCTGACTGATTACAAATGGAGTTTAGCACCTGATTTAAGTGCAATTCAGATGCAAGATAAAATAGAGACTTGGGAGGGGTCTGAAAATATATTCTCTCTGAAAAATAAAGTTAGAATACTATTCAGCCTTAAGCATCTGAAGTTCATCCACCTTCTGACTGGAGAGAAAAGGCAACCTTCACAGAAGAACAGAGAACAAATGGCCGGTGAAAAACAAGAAGTCTTCCCACAATGGACATAACATTCTATTAAACCAAAGACCCTCTCACCAAATAATCAACCAAATAATCCTATATAAAATGACAAAATCCCAAGAAATTGGGGGGGGGGGAGAAATACAGACATGCTTTCAGGGAGAGAGCAGTAGGAGTTACAGATACTGAAAGGACTTTAACTGAACTGATGCACATAATAAAAACTTCAACACCGAGATATAATCAAAAATAGCAAGGATAGAGAGAACTCAGATAAGCCTTAGGCCAAGTACATGCTCCATTTAGCCAGGTAGGCATATATTGCTCTTATTACCAGGAGTAATTGGAGAAGAACAGGCTCTTTCTAGAAATAAAGAACCCTCCAGCATATGTGTTGTAACTGGAGCATACAGTCTTCTCTAAATCCTTTATTGTCAGGTCTGCTGGGTGTGAGAAGAGCATGGGACTCCTTATCACCAAGCTCAGAAAATCCACAAACTAAAACGGTCTTAGCTGGCCAGATGTAGGCAAAAATTTGGTAAACTACATCTGACTTCGTCTTTTGGTGATCCTTAGACAGCCACGGAAAAGGCATAAAGCATTATCTCTCTCTGTGACTTCAACTCCAAAAGTGTAGAACTCTAAAGGAAAGCAGACTATATTTCCAGTTGAAAGCAAAGGAGACGAAATTTTGGAAAAGCCCATTTATTAAAACAACATCAAGAGCAAACTTCCCACTCCTGATTCAATATTCTGAAGTGAACGAGAATGTCTGACATCATGTTCAAGACTCGTATGTGACTCAGATATCTGACAAAACAGTTGCAATATCTTCCCAGAAAAGAAGAAAAACCCTTTCATTGCTTTGCTTGGGGATGGAAACTATCATGTTTTCAGTCACTCTTTGCTTATAGTGAGCCCTTAACTTGGGCTCCCCATAAACAAACTCCTCCTGAAGCTCTGACTTCCAATACGTCAATGTGTATTTTCTTTTTCTCTGGAGAAAAAAAAAAAAGACTCCTGGTTTTGGGTACCCTTTCTGTCTTAGGAGAGAAACATGCACCAGTAACAATCTGGACAGAGAAGTGCCATACCCTGAGGAACATTCCAGCACTAGTATATAAAGGACCCTTAGGCTAGTAGTTACCTTCATACTCAGATGGTTAATTTGGAATGCAGCAACACATAGTTACGCAAGACTGCATGTACCAAGATGGTCAGACATAGGCATTGCTGATCTCCATCCAAACAAGGATACTCTTTAGAAAAGCCCCAAATAATTTTGATATCTGGTCTGCCCTTATGTACTCTAGAAGATGGTAACCTTGGTAACCTTAACTAGGATTTTAGAGAGATTCAGCAAGAAAGACAAAGGATCAAAAGGTCCACACTGAGACTCTTGGCATCCTCTTCCTTTAAGGTTCCTGTCACCCACCAAAATGAGGCACAAGCTACCACAACAACGTAGGTAAACACCACTGGAGTCACTGAGAGCAGAAAAGAAAGGTCCCTAAAAAGATTATTCCTGTCCTGCAATGAAAGGTAGATACTGACAGTAAGATGGCCTTAGCAGTGTGACAGTAGGCACCCTGATGACTGAGAAATGAACATCAAACCCTTTTTAGAGAGCCACTGACTATCCTGTATTTGACGTTGCAGATATATGGATTTCTTTAAGTTCAGAATAAGCCCTCTCCCTTTCTACTTTTAACACTACAAAGTAGCACCTGAAATCCCTTTGTACTTTGGAACGGATGAAATCCAGCCCGATGGCTGGGTGTCAAGAG